AATGGATTTTTTTACTGAACCAAAATATTTCTTATATTAATGATAACCAATAATTTATGAAAGACTAAAGCATTTCAATGTGTTTGATGCAAGATTATGAAAATAACGTTTCCAAGAAACTTCAAGTTTCATGGTTCTGTCTTCATTTGAACAATTTTTGAGTGCATTAGTTCTGCTTGGGAACATTTAGACGCTGCTTTATGCTATACTGTGAAATAATTTTCTTAAATCTTATAGTTTTGGTGTAAGGATATATAGTTATGGTACCTAAATAAATACTTACTATCAGGAGGTTGCTCAGTTATTTTGGCTTCATCAGGGGTCATGATCTCTTTAAATTCATTAGTCAAGTGGTCAAGTGATATGTCTTATTTAACATTACATGTATTCATTAGTGCAATTTCAGCATTTTAATCATTGGAACACAGCCACTCAGTAACAGTGAAATGTAACAGCCTTTCTGCCACCAACAGTCATTAATTATTCATCGTAACAACGGAGGCAGCGTTGCTCTCTGTGTCTGTCAGACATTAAAAGGGAATCGCAGCACAACTACGAAACGTATTACTTTAGTGAAATGAATAAAAGACGACATGGTGAGATGGGTGTTTATATCTACATTATTGATGAACAAAAACCTAACGTGACAACACACACCCAGTTATAAAAAAATATTATGTTCCAAGCCACATTCATTGGATTCATTCATGTGAAAAAATATGAATACACCAAAAAGTATTCAGTTCTTCTTCTAAAAATCTCCACATGTCGATATCAAATCTTGGATATGATCGTTAGTGGGAAGAATTTTTCTTCACGCAGTTGTTTTTAATTACTTCCCTTTGTAGGTTGTTTTCTGTGGAATGGCTGGTTCATATATTCAAATCTGTTATAAATCACAGTCTCATTGGATATCCTCCAAATTAAAATACCAGGTAACCATTGGAAGAAAGACTGCAGACACAAAGAAGAGGAGTCTTAAAAAGAGCTGTTTTCTTGGCAAAGCAAATCCTGTTCTATGTATTTTTAGAGCCATCTCATACCATTTGTGCTGAAAGGTCAGACGAATAAGTTAAATGCAAAGACAAGATAAAAGCAGGGCAGTGAACATCCTGCAAAATGCCGTTATGCCACAAAAAAGTCAGAAATAAATGGATTTGTTGGTAAATGGGAGGAATGATTTTGATGACACAGTTTTCTTTCCAAATAGTCTAATCTGACTATATTAGACTGTAAATGTTTTCCCATTAGACAACCACTTAGCTTCAGATTTGGGCATTTCCTTTGTTTAAGAAGAAGATGATACATTTTAGACTTTAGATAAATTTCTTAATCATAAGAGAAATTCAGTCTTCCAAAATGCAGAAATGAGCATTCCTGGAAATAATTTTCCTGCATGGCACTTTAAAAGTTTATCTTTGCATATTTAGCAAATACAAAGCATTGCAAAAGTATTGACTCCCACCCCTTCGTTTTTCTACACTTTGTCTCCAGGCAACCATATTTATTAGTTTGTTTTATTGGGATTTGCATTGTAGACCCAAAGTTTTACCTTTTTACCCTGAAACTTCCAACCGGAGCCACATTTGAATGGGTTGGCTCAAATGAATTAGCTCGAATGTCCCAGTTAAAGTTTAGACCTAAATTTAATTGGGAATCTGTGACAAAACTGTGAATCCTCCGGATATTTTCTTTTTCTTCATTTTATTTGTCATTGAGTTGATTTCCTTGGAGTTAACTCCACAAGTACCTGTTTCACATTAATTTTTGATTTATATAAGTGCAATTAGTCTCTATTACGCCTTTTTAGTTTGAAAACGTTCGAATATAATTTTCTCAGAAACCTTCCACTACTTGCCTTCGTAGAGAGGTTGTTTGCTACAGTACGGACTGCTTGGCCTGCCAAGGGCAAACCTTTCCATCTCCCTCCCTTCTAAAGGAGATAATGATTCTCTTTTTCTTGGAATAGGATTGCATTTTCTCTCTCTCTCTCTCTTGTCCTCCGTCCCTCTCTCACCTTTACCTTTACATCTACCCAGCCTACCTGCACCCTCCCCCCAGCCGTCCACTGCTGGCACTCCCTCCGCAGCAACTATGCTCTATCGCTCCGTCGCAGCGCAAGGCGAGGGATGAGAGACAAATCAAAAACGCCTTATTTCCCCCTCAGCCCCTCTCACCATGCCAGATTGAATTTGAGGCTTTTCATCTTCTTTCTCATCTTTGTCCCTCCCTGCCTCCCTTGGCGTCCACTCAGAATTACCTGGAACCACAACAGCTTGATGACGTTATATCGCTTATTCATGCAGTGGGAGACAGTCGGCAGGTCTTTGCTTTGGTTTTTTTCGACTCACTTAAAGTTCTCCGCTTCTGTCATTTAGGTCCAGAAATGGTCAGTTTCAACATCTGTCCGGTTTATCCTGTCTCGGTTTACCATTTCTTTTAGAAATCCATATGTATAAAAATCTCTGGATTAGTTTTGTTAGCTTCATGCACAACAATTAAAAACCATAAGTGAACATGTCTTTTTAAACTCCTCCTTGCATTTCTATGACATTTCTCTTGATTTCTTGTCAAATATGCCATACAAAAACCAGGAATTAAGTTTGTTGCATAGAAAAATGTATAAATGTGCAACATAAAAGTGGTATAATTGAGATCTGATCACCAAATAAGCCTCGGGGCACTGAGTTTTTTTTAATTTTTTTATTTTTTTTTTATTGTGCACCTTTATCATGATCGTTGATTCTACATGAGGTCAGATGTTGCATGAAGTCTCAATCTGAGGGAAATCTACAGTCTTTTTGACTGTCTTCAGTTTTCTGACACAACTGTTGCCTTCTCACTAAGCTGTGTACTAATGGTCCTTTAGCCAATTCCAGCCATGTGCATGTCTATAGTTTTTTTCCTTTGGATTGACCAATGCTGGAGATGTTGTTTCACACAATATAGTGCAAATAAATAATTTAAAAATCGTTCAATCTGATTTTCCTGATTCATCTGCATTATATTATTGACATCCTTTTTTTGATAACCAGTTCAAGCACTGTTGTTTGGATATTCCAGCATGTTTATGAAATAAAGGTTAACTTTTCAAGGTGCTGGTACAAACAAATATACATTTACACATGTTCCATTTTAAAAAATTATACTACATTTTGTCCATTCAAAAATATGTGTTACTAGTTCAAAAAAAAATCTTAAATTCTCTTTTCTCAAATGCTTTTACCCTTCAGGAGTTTGTAGTCATTTAATCCCCAATTGAAATTTCAAGGCGCCCATCCTACACAGTTCTTTGTAAGACTAAAGCCTCTGATTGCGGAATCAGTTTTAGACTTTTATAACCAAGACGGTCTAATGTGAAAATCAGAACTGACAGACACATTCGCATTGGCTGCTGATTAGACTACACAGCCCACACTGGGCAGTAGGAGTAATGAGAATAAAAGTGGATGCTAAAATCAGTCATGTTTTACATTTAGTTTTGTGTTCATATAAGAGCTCTAATTTGTTTACTCATTATATACCGGCACCAATAATTAAAAGTCTGGAAATAGAAAATGGCGCCGCTTCGTGTGCGATGGAAAGCGAGCGTAGATTTGGTTCTGGGTCGCTGAATGAGGGCGCCGAAGCACAGCGCACCTGGCTGCTGCTACCAGAGAAAAATGACTCCCATCTCCCACCCTTCCTCCCTTCACCCCACCTTTTCATTTTCAATTATGGGTTGGAATATGAATCGTTAATAGGGTGATAATTGTGCTAGCATATTTGCTGTCACCCACCATTAGCTCAGATTAATTAGCCCATTTACTTTAGTTTAAGAAAGTGTCTGGCTGAGGAATGGGAGCAATGATGGAAGGCGAATAAGAGAGAGAATGGATTCACCACAATCTGTTCCATATCACTTGTGCCATCTTTTTTCTGCCTTCATTTCATTGTTCATTTCGGTTTCTTCTCTCTTTGCAACTTTTACATTCTTTTTCTGATATACTTGAGATTGTGCTCATCTTCCCCGGTCTTACAGACATATTTATTTTGTTCTCTGATTTTTTTGTGATACTTTTAGAGTAAATACAGTCCAATTTGAGCAGTTATTTCTGGCAACATGAGTCAGTGTTATCACTTATGCAACTGACTTTGGTTTTTGAAATGTATACTCTTAGTAGACATAACCAAAATTATATGAACTTGAATTTCTATAAGTGAATCAGTGTGTCTGCAAGTTCATCGGATAAACTGATGAAGGAAGGAACTAAGGTACACGTGAACAAAAGATGGAAAACATGAACAAACAAGACCGATAAAGGAAGAAGCAAATGGATGAACAAACAACATATCTGCTCAAGCTGTTGTCTACCAAAGTGTTGTCTAAATGGAATAATATTTGAAGCTTTCCATTTTCTTTTATGTAGAGTCTTGAGAAGGTACCTAGTTGTACATTTAGAAACAACTTTTCACAAAACTCTGCCAATTATTTTGTTGGGAGTTTAAAAAAAATGTGATACAGTCCAAAGGTTTGCTGGTTATTGTCAGTTGGAGCGAATATTTCCAATTACAGGAAATCATTTGATTCAATGTTGGTTTGAAAGTGTTGCTTAATGGATCTCTAATCGCTCCCTCCACCTTGGACTAAGTCACACGTGTGCAGCAGTGGAGTGACTTGGCCATGTCAGGAGCTGCATATCTCTCTGCAGGCAGTGGGAAATGAGGTCTAATCGCAGGGATATTAAAGTCACAATAGACTGCTCCTGCTATTAAGGCCTGTCAGCCCTGGGCCCCTCTCTCACCTTGATATCTCTCCGTCTCTGAATATTTATATGCTTACATCAGGAGCTCCTTACACAGTGCAGTGTGTGCATGTTTCTTTGTGTGTGTGTGCTGCTATGTCAAGCGAGAAAATTCCTCATTGCTGTAGCCACTCAAGCTCTCTGAATATGTTTATGTGGTTGTGTGTTGCTCCGTCTGCGCTTACACGGTCTGCCTTCCTGTCCTCCGATCCTCAGGTGCAGCGGGGGCGAGGCTGCTCGCGGGTCAAAGCAAACCTGACGCCATGGATGTGGATGAGGAAGAAAACATGAGTGAGTCCATCTTGATTTTTCTCATTTGTTTATCCATCTTTTTTTTTTACCTTTACTTTCCTTCCTTCCTTTCTGTCTGCCTGCTTGTTTATTCTTCTCTTTTTAAGTGTTGCGTAATCAGTGTGATCTTTTGTCTGTATTCTACCTTTTTGAAAATACATTTGTAAGTATTTGTCTAATGGCCAAAATAATTGAAAAATAAAGTTTTTAAATATATGCTGGAAAATGAAAATAAAATTGTGTTTGGAGAAACTTGCTTATTTAGATCTGAGTGAGAATATTGTTATTGTAGCAATAGAGTATGTTCAAAGTTGAGGTTTTACATGATATATTCTATTTCTTACCAGGTTCTAAAAGTATCTAAATCTATCCTTAAGTGTACAATAACCATTTTCATAGTAACTTGAAGTAAATGAATGCTGTGTGACTCATCACAACTACAACTGTTTTATTTTATTTAATACGTAACTCTAACATCAGCAATTTCTAGATTATTATCATTATTCTAGATCGACTAAATCAACTCATTAACTTCTAGTTGCCCCGGTTTTGAGGCTGAAAAATAAAACCAAATAATCAACTCTCTACCATACTGAACAATAATGCCCCTGTCACATAAGTTCCAATAAATAATAAAAATAAAATAAAATACGCTACCACAGCTATGTACTGCTTCTGCCTCAGTGAAATGCACCATGTTATGTATTTAGCATTGTAGAATTTATACAGCTAATGAAATCTTCCAATAAATGTCCAACAAAAACTGTTTTTTTTAATGTGCAACACTGTGCAAAAGCTTTGTCTGCACTGTGAAAGATCAACTCCCCTCAGCTGTTTGAAACTGAGGGAAGTTTCAAACAGCTGAGTTTCTTATTGTGCATTCAAATATTGTTCCAAGATGGTAAGTTGATCCTTAATTATGAGAATAAAAAAATGGTTACATCAGTGGGAAAATAGATGACCCGTTGCAAAGCCCTACCACTTTTTAATCTTTTTTTTAGTTTAGAGATGAACTAAACTGGTGCTAATCTGTCTTTTAATGACAGTGCATTGCATCTGTTGGGCATTGCATTTTTATTTGCAATGCCCACAACAAACACATTTAACGTTAGCTGTAGTCACAACAATACCCTAGCTAAGTCTGATTGTAATGTCATACTTTCTATCTTCACTTTGTAGAATGGTACGTTGTGTTGTGAAATAAGCAGCTACAAAATTGTCTTTGCTGCCTTTCAAAGGCTCTGAAGCCTGGTTCTTACATTTTTACTGCCAGATATACATAAAAGATGTATCTGAAGATAAAACACAGCGCTCGCTCACACAATCCTGTTTCTTTAATACCAAGGGGACATGAGGGGAAGAAAAGAAAGAAAGTTTTAGCTTTCATGTGACAACCCGGGGAGCTCTTGAGCTCTTTTATCTAGTGAAATGAATCAAAACAAAACCACAACAAGAAAGTTACACCTAAAATTAAGTCATGACAGTTTCACTCAGTTAATTCGGAAGGGATATTTTAAATATTTTCTCTCCATTATAATTAACATTGTGTATAAATGCTGATTACACAAATTCCAGCATGACAGTGACAACTGCTTGCCTGTGCCAAAGTTTAATGCATGGCTCTTGTTTTATGAATTTTTTACCCCATTTATGTCTGATCCAGTTTGTGATTTTTCACTATTACTGGCTATTAAGATTCTCATTGTTACAATAAGCAAAATTATTAAATGTTTTATTTGTGGGTAAGAGGTATGTAACTGAATAATTTTATGTATAATTATAGCAGAAAAAGAAGCTCTAGATTGTTCTGTGTGTCATTTCTTCACTGTATTTGTGCAGCATGCAGGAGATTTCTTAATGTATGTTTATTGGTTTTATTGACGATTAACACCTCATAGATACAAATGGTACAGATGTTGCCATAATTAGCTAAACCTCAAATTTAACATTTGGCATGATTAAATACTCTGTATTTCAAGGGTCCAGGTCCCAGCATCATTCTGATTGGTGCAGGATTGTCCGGGTATTTTTTTTGGTTTTATGGGGTTTTTCCACCAAAACCATTCGCGAGCTAAACCAGCACTGGCTCTTAACTGGTCCTATAACAGGGAACTGTTTTGGTTTCAACAAATTTGTTATTTTAAAATAACAACTAATTTTGTTATTTGTCATTCTGTCTCTCCTAATACCTGTTATACTAACACATATCTGATCCATGTGTTCGTATGACAAGTCTGAATCAGACCATCACTACACCATAAATATATTTTCTGTAGAATTGAAGAAATACTATTAGCTATTTGTGTAAAAGTTAACTCTGACAAACCAACAAAAATTACCTTGTGAAATTTATTGAGTCAAATAACCACATTTCATATCAGAATATTTGCAGATCATAGTAATTTATTTTTGACTTATCCTAGATTTAAATAGGTACAACGAGTCTCTCTGATGACAATAATAATAATTAAATAATATGCAAGATCTAGTTCAGGTTTAGCTTTCAAACTGTTTTGGTGGCAAAAACCTTCACTTTGCGCATTTGTTTTCAAGTTCATTTGCAATGCAACAATACCAATGCTGTAAATGCATGACTTTATAAAAAGTGCATGTTTTCAGGTCATAAACTGAATGAGTTGCAGTTTGTGATCTCAGAATCAAATTTTTGTTGTTTTTTTCCTGACTCAGGACATGTCAGTGGCAGTGTGCAGTTGGTAATGGCATGTCGAGACATTTTGTCAACACTCTGCTCTCTGACAGCTCCAAGGGGGGGGGATCTCAGAGGCGCAGGGTCTTATGAATGGCACTTCATTAGAAAACTTTTTTTTGTTTGTTTTGTTTCTTCAGACTTTCCTCATCTTAAATACGGGAGTCTTTGTTTTCCAAAATAAAATCATGTAAATGGTGTAAACTGCATTTTAACCTCCACCGTGTCACCAGTTGAGACTTTAGGATCCTGCAGTAGGTGGAGTCTTCTCCTTCTGCCTCTTTGATGTGCTCTCCTGTTTGCCTGGTCCTCAGCTTCCTCCCCCTGCACTACTTTCCCTGCACTCCCTCAACCCAACCTACAATCCCACTCATGCACACTGCGGCCTCTCTTTCTCTTGAGTACCGCAAGGAGTAACCTATCAAGCCTTTGCTGAAGGATGTTATAAATGAAAATTTTTCCCAACATTCCATCCACTTTGCTAACTAGAATCAGTGATATGTGTTCCCCTTAGCTCAGTATATAATTGGTTTTGGTTTTTCTTCAGAAACGTTAACGATTTAAGATAAACGGGGTGAAAAGAAACCCTTTTGGTCTGTTTTTTGTGTGTGTCTGTTGTTTGTTTGCATGGTATTCTCAAGTCCCTGTCACTGTGCAATGTCTAGTGTCTTCAATGTCTACAACATATTTTTATTTTATTCTAATTTTAGTCATTTTGAACATGAAGTTTAGTTAGTATAACTTTAAATGCAAAGATAGCAAAGTAAAATGTTTGCAGAGGTACTTGCTAGAGCATTAACTGTCATTCTGTAGAAACAGATGTTTTTGTATTTGTATTCCTTTTGAAATAGGTTTAGAAATTCAAGCCTAACTATATCTTATCTTGTTATAAAGGAACACAAATCATTGGTTCAGTTCCAAAGAGTGATAAAGGAATCTATAAATTTTGCATTTACAAGATCCTGCAACGAAGGCGTTGTAAGTTACTCTTTCTGGGCACCGCAGGTTCAAGCAGCACAGACGTTAAGGAAAATCGAAACCTGGACAACGTGTCCTGCAAAGACGGGATGGGAGTCGGTGATCAGCTCCCCAATGGAAGCGGCAATGGCAGTCGAAAGCGCCCCTTAGAGGAGGGCAACAATGGCCACACGCATTCCAAGTTTCGAGCCAAGAAGCGCAAGAAAACACCTGGACCGGTGCTGCCCAAGAATGCTCTGATGCAGTTGAATGAGATCAAACCTGGTCTCCAGTACAAACTGCTGTCTCAGACTGGGCCGGTCCATGCACCAGTGTTTGTCATGACTGTGGAGGTTAATGGGCAAATGTTTGAGGGAATGGGTCCAACCAAGAAGAAAGCTAAACTGAACGCAGCTGAGAAAGCGCTGCGTTCCTTTGTTCAGTTTCCCAATGCGTCTGAGGCTCACCTGGCCATGGGCCGTACACTGACAGTGAATACAGACTTTACATCAGATCAAGCGGACTTCCCCGACATGCTCTTCAATGGCTTTGAGACACCAGCTGCTCCTGAGGAATCCTTCTATCTGAGCTCCAACGGTACAAACTCACTAGGGGAGTATCCGTTACCCACACCACCTGGCAGCAACCTTGTCCAGGCGCCGTTGCCCTCTCCATCTGCATTCAGCTCACCTTCCACTGGCAAAAACCCGGTCATGATCCTAAATGAGCTCAGGCCAGGCCTCAAATATGACTTTGTCTCAGAAAGTGGTGAGAGTCACGCCAAGAATTTTGTGATGTCAGTAACTGTGGACTCAGAGACGTTTGAAGGCTCAGGGCGCAACAAAAAGCTGGCTAAAGCCCGGGCAGCACAGGCCGCCCTCTCTGCTCTCTTCAACATGCAGCTAGACCAGACACCGTCCAGGCAACCCATACCAAGAGAGGGGTTGCAACTTCACCTTCCACAGGTAAGACATTTTATTCATTTTAGATTTCTCTGGTGTCAAAGAAATACAAAGAACCTAGATTGTAATTAGTTAATCCTCTAACTTCAAGAAATGTGTCCCTCTTAAGCAGAAGTGAGATGTGTCAGTAAATAGGGCTTTAGAAGACACTGTTGAATGAGTCGTATTTTAAGTAGAACACAATCATCCTAATAGACTGACTAAAATAGTTATTTTAATAATTGAATTGAATTTCCAGGTCTTTGCTCGTTTTTACCTCATAAAAGCATGCCTCTGTATAGTTATAGTTGAGTCTGTTTGATTATTTCTTTTGAAATTTCTAAAACCCACATGCAACATCCAACATGTGATGCACAACATAAGACCCAGGGATCTCATAAGAAAACAACACCAAACGTAATTTTCTCTTTTCAGCATCTCTCACCAACTTCTATTGCACTTCACACACGTGTTCTATAATTTTATTCACTTCAGCCAACATTACGGCTCTCTGGGCTCCAAACCTGGAGAAAAGTGTAACTAAACGTTCACCATCTTGGACTATGATAAAGCTGAGGATATTAAATCTGTCTTGCGGTAGCTCGATGATGGAAACAGCAACGTCTAAATGTTAAAGTCACTCAGTGTTCATGTGTTCAGCCGATAGTAAGGGCACAGCTTAGTGCCGGTCTGTAGCACAAATGTGCAAAGTTATATAACAATGAGAGGTGTCAAAGACGGGCACAGCTGACATTGATATTAACAGAAATGAGTATATAAGCTTATAAGATATCATCAGTTATTTTCTGACTGCATATTCCTGTACATGTGTCTATCTGGTGAGGTGCAGATGATCTTAGATGTATAGTTATGGAAAAAAACTAAGTGGACTCTTAGTGCTTCCATGGTCCTTAAGGGAAAATGGATGTCACCAGCTGCTAATCACAGTCCTTTTGTTGATTGATAGTCAGCATTGTGACCACCTTTATAATAGCAGAAGTCTTAACACAATGCCAACTTATACATTAGCAATGACCTTGGCGAAGCAATTGAAGCTGCCAATCAATCTGGTTCTGCTTGTAAGGTGTCAGAGTGACATAAGTCCACCGTTCTGCAGGGAAAACGATTATTCACGAATGGAAATCATTTCAGAAAGCTTGTGTTGCCAGCAGTGAATGTAACAGCAAATTCACCTCAGAGTCAGACAATGCAGCTCCTCGTTAAAATGGAAATAAAGTCCAAGAGCTTCATCTATTAGTCTAAATTGAAGCTGGAATGTCTGTAATTAATTACAAATCCAGTGTAATGAATGATTGCATTACACTGGATTTATTTGTTAGGCAATTACAGGTACAAAATAGATCTGTTTGTCTTGTAAAGTGCTTTATAAATCGGCACTTTATAAATAAATTGGCTACAATTTATTTAGACTGCATAAGTATGGCTTGTCAAGAGAATTTCAGGACCAAAATCATTTAGACACACAAGACCAATGAAGAAATGTTTAAAGTAGTAATGGTAATGATTAGAATTTTTAATGGCACGGTCTGTAATCTCATTTTAATCGAAAAATATCAATAGAAAAATAAGCAGCATTTTTAACTCAAAATACCTTTCTGCTTTTAAACTATTTATTGAATAAGTATATTTAGCTCAACAACAGTGAGCAATTTCTCATCCATCTCAGTTCTTTCCTGATATCGCTTGTGCATCAGATTTATGGACGTTACATATAAAGGCTCCAACTAGAACATTTGTTTGTTAAAAAATGCGATTAAGTGTTGAGATTTCAAAACTTTAAAATCTATGTAATTTATTTATTTAAATTGACACAACAAAGGTTTAAAGTAAAGCTAATAGAAGCACATTAACACCTCATACAAGCATCAGACATGTTGGGAGAGGAGTTTTTTTTAACAGATTCTGGACTTGGTCAACTTTCAGGCATTGAGTCGACCAAGAAGTACTCTGTACACCAAAGTATTCTAAAGTCAAAGTTGAGGCTGTTTGTTTGGCCCAAATTGAATCGTCAACAGGACATTGATCCCAAACTTCACAGAATCTACAGCTGTATATGAATGAGTCTCTGCAGACCTTAATAAACCAAAGCAACATCCTAAAGAAGAGTGGTAACACCAACAAGACTTACAGAAAGTCATTGCTACAGAAGCTCATTCTTCTTGGTGTTGAATCAGAATTTGCCCATATTTTCCCCCTTGATTATGTTGATGGTAAGATTTGACTGCAGTAAGTTCTGATAGAAGTGAAACACGCCTCAAAGGAATATATTCTTCTGAAGCGAACATTGTACTTTGGTTTACAAAGAGCAAAACTCAACTCATCTGCCCTTCACACTGTACTAATCTATAAAGCTGTCATTGAAGTCTCATTCACACAGGTTATCAGAGAGGTGAAGTTAATTGTCTTAGATGAGAGCCAGTGTGAGAAGAGAGATAACTCAGGCAGCAAAGCTAATCAGCCTGACACATAGTCAACAGGCCTTTCTTCTCTCTTTGTTCACCCTCTCATCTTCTCCTGAAGCCCATTTCAGTTATGACACTCCCAGTAATTTCTCATATTAATTTGTTTTGCATGATATTCAATTTCAGCTCTACTTTTCTATCTTGTATGAAACTTATGGGAGAAAATTAGGTGGCAGAATTTATCTTAAATTTCTTATTTGATTGTAATTAGAATTTACAATCAAAATTCTAATTACAATTAGAATGTTGTAATTCTAATTATAATATTCTTATTGTTGTTTGTGTCTTATTGTATACACAAAAATACATTGAAATGTATTGTATGAGAGAAAGCGTAAAAAAAGAGGTAAAGAAAATAATATTTTTTTACGGCCATGAAGAATAAAAGTCCTTGGCGATGAAAACCGAAGTCATCTGGCTCTGTCTCTGAAGTAGCAGGGAAGTAATATAAGACTGATTTCTTTAATTTGTGATCAACCAGCCGTCATCTCTCCTTTTAGTTGTCGTCATTTTCCATCACATTAGCAGTGGTTAAAGACCCAGCACGAGGAACGGGCTGTCCAAAAGTTAAAGATGTGTGAAGTTCATTTTAGGTTTCCTCAAATGTTCAGCTGGAGATTAAAGCTCTGGATAGCAGATGAGCACTTTGCTCCCAACTGAGGTCCACGTTTGCTTGTTTGTTTTTTTTTTTGCTCTGATTTGTTGTCAGAAGGGAGATGCTAAACTAAAACTGTCATTCCAAACTTCAACAGCATTGCTTAAAAGATTGTTATGTTTACCTCAGAGGGAGCCAGCCCAGTTTCACTTGTTGCTGTTTTAACGCTTTGACTCGTTTGATGCCAGATGCGAGCACAGTGACAGGTAGATAGCGCTCCAGAGGCGGATAGCATCAGCCATGCTCTGTAAGCTGACATATCTGAGGCGAGGGTTTTGTGTTTGTGCGGTTTTGTGCATGTCCTCCCGCACGCTTGTCTGTGTCTGCAGGTTCTGGCTGACGCCGTCTCTCGCCTGGTGGTGGATAAGTTCAGTGAGCTGACAGACAACTTCACCTCTCCTCATGCACGAAGAAAAGTCCTGGCAGGAGTCGTCATGACAACAGGTAATATAGGAGGAGGAGACCCGGTGATGCCTTCTGTTAATACAAAAAAGGCTTCGGTCATTTAAAAGTATTATTTGGAAGGGTAATTAAAACAGAGAGAAATAAGTGCTTTAGGATCCTAGATGCATCTTCTCAATATTCTGTTTGGCAGTTTTAGCAGACATCGTTCTGCCTCGTATAACTACATACCTTTGGATGAATCTAGACATCTGATCATAACTATTCCCTGCAGGAATTTCTAGTAGTAAACCAGGGCTGCTGCTAGAGCTGGTCTTCAACCAGATCTTTATAAAAAGTTAAGAATCAAATTGATATCAAGAAAGATGTTTTATTCTTCTACCTTTGTATTCTAAATATCTATTATATGTATTATGCCTTTTATAAAGGCAGCATTTATCTCTTCTCTTCTGAACACACACATCCTTTATTTCCAGTTTATCTAGTAACCATCCTGTTTGGGATTTGTGAAGTGTGATGATACATCCAGCTGATCTGAAGAGATGATGATAGGTTTGATATTAAAGTCTTTGAGTAAAGAATTCATATTCTTAGTTTATACAAAAAATGTTTCACAAATTTTGCTTTAAAGAATTTGCAACTTTGCGAGTTAGTTTATATTATGGCCTCTATGCATATTTCATTTAACTAATGCTGCCTATCATCAAACAGCAGCATACTTGCAATAGCGCAAGTATGCTGCTGAATAGCGCAGTTTCATTGACTCATAATTTCAAATATATTGATATTTATTGGTTCTCCAGTGATAAAAACAGTTCAAAAAATAATATTTGTAAAGAGCAGAATTAACGATTCACAAAACAGTTTTCTAGAACATCAAATACTGGGAATGTCTGAAGTATTTGCGCCTCTATTAATGTGCTCCCATTCAGTGTGATGCGTATAAACTGAGAATAATAGAGCAGAGTTCACAGTGTTCTGCTGTGTCATTACCAGGTAAATTACTTTTCTGCGAAGTAAAAATCTTGTTTTAAAAACTGGAACTTTTTAAGGCTTACTTCTAGACCAGTGACTGACATGTGCCTATTCTGAAGTTTATTGGTGCTGGCAAAGCATCTGCCCTTCAGGAGACAGATTTGTGTGTGTATGTGTGTGTTTCTGAATGTGCTGCTGAAGATAACTGGAACAAAGCAAACTGACTGCAAACTACTAGTATTCTCCATTATTGACACTTATTTAAGTGGCCTGCCTCTCCTACTACCTTAGCAACTACATTTTAGACTCCCAACCCAGAAAAGGAATTAGACCAGAGGATACTTACTTATACTTATCTACCAACCCTGAATATAAGTATCTGGTTTATTTACTTTGGATCAACATTATCTGCTTTTTCTTATTTTGCTCTTTTCATTTGTTTGTTATTTTGTTTCTATCTCCTTTTAATTCCTGTAAAGAACTTTGTATTGTCTTGTTGCTGAAAATGTGCAATATAAATAAAATTACCTTTACCTTTTACCTCTCCTTCACAGCAGTCTGCCTCTTCTTAGTTAAGGAGCAGCATTTTTAGTGTGTGGACACATATGATTCACCCGGGTGTGTCTGTGTTATCGCCCCCTCCCAACAGGGACTGATGTGAAGGAAGCACAGGTCATCTGTGTCTCCACAGGAACCAAGTGCATCAACGGTGAGTACATGAGTGACCGCGGCCTGGCACTAAACGACTGCCATGCAGAGATAATCGCCCGACGCTCACTCATCAGGTACCTCTACACCCAGCTGGAGTTCTACCTCAGGTTAGTGGACGAAGACGTCCTTTGTTCAGTCTCGTAAGGTGCAGCTGTACATTTCTACAAATGTTCTGTATCCCGATTGCATTTTTATGACTTAGATAAAATGTGACAAACATTCGTTTTTTGCTATTGGTTTGTGATTGTAGCAACATAAAAGAAGACCATCACAAGTCCATATTTATGCCATGTGACAAAGGAGGCTACAGGTTACAGGACAACGTTCAGTTTCACCTCTACATCAGCACCTCGCCCTGCGGAGACGCCAGGATTTTCTCTCCGCATGAAGCCGGAGTGGAAGGTGTGAAACCAGCCGGCTCTATCTCCACATCTCTTCCTCAGCTCTGAGGACATGTTTTTAATTTCTTCCCATCTTTACTCAGAATTCAGCTCCAACTACTCATTGGTTTTATTTAATTAAATGTAGAGTTATGCTTTGCTTTATTTGAATGTTAGTGCAGCATCCAAAATATGCTTCACAGATGCATTTAAACAAGGCGCTGGTAATTAGAGCGTTTAGTCATTCTATGTCGTCCTCCATCAGTCTTTGTCCTCCCCAGCCCAACCACTCTGTCTGTCTGATTAACCTCCCTCATACTCTTGTCAGGCTGCTTTCCATTGCACATGGCAGACTGAATAGAAAACAGCCACATTCAATTAGTCAGTGAATAGATGGGCGCCTGCTGGTGGAACATCAGAAAACTTTGACAACATAATGCGGACGACATTTTTTCGGCTTTCTTCTTTTGGAGACACTGGTTTTGTCAGTAAACAAGCCAATTTACTGGTGCGAGGGATTTTTTTGTAAAATGCTGCTCAAAATGCAACACAATTGCAATGATGTCCAAATAATTACACCACTGGCAGTAAGGTCGTAGGCTAATTCGACTATGTTAAATCAAAAAATGATAAAGACATCGCCAAAGTGTTCAATCTGTCAGCTATACTTGTAAACATGTTAAATGTGTTCCCCTTGTATAGAAGCTAAAGAGGCAGATACAGAAACCTCTAAAAATGTTTCACAGTTACTGTTTCAGGACATAATTAGAAAATCAAGATTAAGAAAAAAATGCAGATGTTATTTTTTTTCTTTAAATACATTGTCTTGTTTCTGTGTACGACAGAATGCAGTTTAGCATTGTCTTCCCTTAAATAAAATTAAATATACATCCAGGTACTGATGCAAAAAAATGCAAGAACCAAGTAAGAAATATAAACTGAATGAAAATGTTTGTGTTCGCTACATAGAGGACTAGATTGTAGATGGAAGCTAGCAGATGCCTGGTGCTTGTCATTGTGTCTGAATGCTGTGATACTTGGCAGTCATGCAAATATATGTATGACTGCAAAGAAAATGAAATTTGATGATTTTATATTTTTTTGGTTGTTTTCATGTAACCATAGGCATAGCTACAATTGCATATTCAGGGGCAAAAAAATAAATATAAGAAAGAAAGAGTACATTTCTGCCAAAACAACTTAATCTCAGAAACTTTCTAGAAAAAAACAAGGACATTTTTAAGTTCAGAAAATTTAATTTTTTCTAGAAAATTCTGCAGTTGATCTCAAACTATTTTTTTGTAGCAGATTTTTGACTTTTCTTGTTTTTTTTTTGTTACCTAGAAAAAAATAATTCGGAAATTTACACGTGAATGGCTCTTATGTGCCATTATGCGTTCCATATATACTGCATGCATGTATATTTTCTGATTAACTATTTAAGCTATTTAATATCTAACACTAAATTATTTTACTTCATCCACTGTCTATATTGTATCATGCTAGCTCGGCATTTGTCTGTCTGAGTTTGTTATTTTTTTTATATGAATTTCTGCCTTATGTGTGATGATTTTCTTGCTCAGATCAGGGAGATCGGCATCCGAACCGCAAAGCAAGAGGCCAGCTCAGGACCAAAATAGAGTCAGGGGAGGGCACCATTCCCGTACGCTCCAGTAACACCATCCAGACCTGGGACGGCGTGCTTCAAGGAGAGAGGTTGCTCACCATGTCCTGCAGTGACAAGATCGCAAGGTAATTTGGTTCAAGTACAGTACAAAATACAGAACTTTAAAGTGTTAAATAGGTTGAATTCTCTTTGTTTCTGCAGCATGTTTAGCAGTCATGTTACTGTATTACATTGGAACGAGCAAGACTAATTCCACCTTTTACTGCCACTGTTGTTTGTCGGTAGATAAATGGTTTACAGAATAGCAAAAGTTTCCAGCTTTTGCCATCAGATGTCACCAAATACTGCATGATGCATTTCGGCTTACAGTCTTATTTTTGAGAATATTCAAAAAGCTCCTAAAAGTTACGTTTTTGACAACAACAGCATTAAAACATTTACTTGCTCATTTATTTGCATTCAATTGTGTGGAACATAATATTTTGTAATTAGATAAACCCAGAAACTTCATGCCTGATTTCCCTTCAGCCACATTTCTCTGGACTCTCATGTTTTATTTGCTGCCAGTATAATTTTCTGCAAAGTGATATATCCCCCCTCTGTAGATGCACTTCATCATTTCAAGTCCATGTTTTTTTTTTTCTTCTGGATGTCGTGAGGAGCTTGGTGAATTGATGAATCCTTTGTCCCTGGAAGAATTTTTTTCTTGGCTGATCATAGCGTCTTTAGTCTCTGTCCATGTTCAAGGCAACACTTTGATGAATGGTGAAACTTCTCCATGACTGATCATGAGAATGCTCCACCTCCTCTCGCCTGGATGAAACTCTGCCTGAGCGCACAGTAACTGAATGCTGCTTGTGTAATTCATGTGGGATGCTGCATAAATACCGTTTATAGCTTAGTGTTTCAGGACTGACACAAATTGTTTTTGCTGTTTTCTGTGTTTCTTTGCAATTTACAGAAGGCCACAGAGTATCAAATGCTCAGAAATAGCGTCATATCATAGATTGATTTCAGTGTTAACAGATTAATTAAATATTAATTTGATTGATATGAATAATCTATTTGACTTCAAAGTTCATCTGGATCAGCCAAAAAATAATAATTATATAGAACTGAGAATTCATTGCCAAACCCAAGAACAGCAAATATAATGTGTAATGTATCCAGGCTATTTTGAGTCTTAGCAACTATTATTAAACTACATAAGATCCTTTCTTATGTAGTTTTTGGGAACTTTGCAAACCTTTTTTTGTTTTTTATGTGAGCAATTTGAAAGAAGTGTAGTTCATTATTGTCTATTAAGTAACGTTATATATTGAGTAGCTGCTGGAAATAGTTGCTGTAAAACAAAATTATGACGAGTTTGAGTAGAAAAGGAGTTAATATTTTCAATTGAAGAGTTTTGCAGTCCTACACTCCAAAGTTTAGGCTACAATTTAGTTTTTTTATTTATTTACGATAATTGTACATATAGTGCTTAAATTGCTGACATAAAATCTGAATTTTCAAGTGTCATTTTCAATCTCTCTCAATATCAAAAACACGGCGCTACCCGCATTAAAACAAGTTCTTAAGATTTTACTTACTGAATCTCTGTGTTCTGATTTATGTTTTTATTATGTTTAAAACCTGAGCAGTTTCTCTTTGTTACTTTTTCTCTGTTTTGTGTGTGTGTGTGTGTGTTTAGTCTCCCTGCATGGAGTCATAAAGCGTTATTTTCTGCAGGAAAAAACACAAAGCAGAAATACAGTGAGGTTTGACAGGAACAAAATTGAATGCCTCTGAAAACATAACTCCAATGAGCGTGCTTGCCTGTTTCTGCTTCTTTTTGTTCACCGCGTGTCCTTCAGAAGGTATTCAGGTGCATTTGTGTTGCCGTATTGTTGCGATAAAACAATGTGTGTGTGTGGCTGAGAATAATATGAAGCTGTTTGACTGTGCTGAATTTGTGTTTTACTGCCTGAAGCTATAAAAGCCTGAGATTTCATTTCTCCTTCCCTCCAGTTTTACACTCACCTCCTCAGACACATTTGCACCAAGAATATTGTGTTGTGGAACAATGGAGCCTTTTGTGCAGCATAACATCCATTGCATGTTTTATATGCCAATGTTTCTTACTTGAAATTGAACACAGGTGTTACATGTCAAATTAGTAATTTTTTGTACGTAATTCTATAACTGGAGATGTTATTAGGTACACTTATGCAATTGCTTGTTTACACTAATAGTGAATCAGTCAATCGCTAAGCAACATATACATGCTTTTTACCATTCTAGCAAAATGAAGATAATTAGCTTACGAAACATCATAAAAAGGAAATATAAAACATAAAAGTCTGATTTCAAACTTGAACTCTAAAGTTTAATATCCATTTTTTAATTACTGACTAATAACCCAGAGAAGCTCAAACAGCTTTGCAGCTTATTATTCACAAGAAATTATTGTCCAACTATTACAAGAGTTATAAGTCATTAAATAAAGGAATTTAATGACTCGGATACATTGGAAATATCATTTGTGTTAAAAAAAAAAAAGCTGTAATTTTATAAACAACTACAGCTGATATTTATACGTGGACTGCCAAGCTATGGAATGATTTGTTTTGGATAAATCTTGGAATGTTGAGATTCTAAATTTGTGTGAATTTGATTCTAGTTGTATTCATCTTAATAATCACATAGTTCAATCAACCCAGAAGGTAACTCAATTTCAATTCAGTTCAATTTATTTATAAGCAACAATTCACATCAGATATAATCTCGAGACACTTAAAAAAAAATGAAACAAGTCCTTACAGTTCAGCCACAAATACATTTCAATTCATTCTAAACAATGAAGCAGGTTCACAATCACTCTTGAAAGGAAAAGAGTTTCACCACATAAAACATCGGCTTTTAGAATACACCCTTTAAAAACAAATTGCTGTGTGGTTTCTGTGTTTCCAACATGGTTTCAGATTCTGTCTTGCATGTTTTTCCCTCTCCAGGTGGAATGTGGTGGGCATCCAGGGCTCTTTAATGAGCTACTTCACCGAGCCCATCTACTTCTCCAGTATCATCCTCGGCAGCCTTTACCACGCCGACCACCTCTCCAGGGCCATGTACCAGCGCATTGCAGATATCGAGGACCTGCCCCAGCAGTTCACCCTCAACAGGCCTCTGCTCAGCGGTAAGAGCCCTCACTGTAGTGAAATAGATGATAAAATAAGGAAAGACCCGCAGGTAATCTGAGATTTTTTTTTCCTCCCTTAAATTCCCAGCCGTATTGCGTGGTCACGTTCACAATTTCAAAAGACAAAAACCCAACCGTGTGAGGTCACGTTTTTAAACCTTGATAATCCAACACCAGCTCTCCAAATATCAAGCAGAAAGATTTTAATTCTGGGTGGTAAACACATTTCTTGACCTCCGAGGTCAGTCGTAGAGGAAAGGAGGACAGGAGGAGCTTTCCTGCTTTGTTTGATCTGAGCTGACATTTATCTTTCTGCTGTGGAAATTGAATAGCTTTAACATTTTGTATAAATTTTCAGCAGTGGCTTGACCTTTTCAAAAGCCTTTTGTTTTTCTTTTACTTTCCTTTTTTCTGTTTTTAATTTAGTACTCTGTTTTTGTTCTTCTGCCTGTCATTGTTTCTTTGTAAAACAGCTAAAATATATCATTAGAATATTAAAGAAGTCATTCTGATTACATCAAGCAGAATGAACTCGCTAAGATTATTTGGCTGGATTGTGGACAACTTTTTTTTGCTTAATGGATGGATGGATGGATGGATGGACGGACGGACGGACGGACGGATGGATGGATGGAGAGTTTGATTAAATGGTTGTTCTGGTTGTGTGTTTGTTCACTTGATTGACTGGCTGATTGGTCAAGTGTTATATGTGTGTTGCCTAACTGTTGTAACCAGTTTAACCTTTTGTTCAAACAATAAAAAAAGTTAAACTGGTTGTAGTAGATCTACAAAAAACTCTCTTCATACCTCAAAACAGGCACCAAAATAAATCCCAAAGAACTATTTTCAGTCCAAACTTCACTTCCTGAAGAGCCATTGTGTTTTCTTAAAAACAATCAAATTAAGGTTGGTCGTGTGGTAGGGGGAGTCTTACTGCTTCCTGGATTTTACTTGCCATTCACCGTGATCCTCTGCTCTTCCACTGTGGTTCCTCTCTAGAGGAGATAATAGTCCGGGGTTATTAACCTTTTCCGCTTTAGAGACTTTTTAGCGGTGAAGGGCTGTGGCCTTAGAGCAGTGAGGATTTCATCCGCTGTAAATCATTTTCTGCCACAAGTGCTGCCAAATGGAACCAAGGAGCTTAATGCACTTTCACACATACACGCACACACCAAAGCGAACAGGACACAGGGATTTATGGCATCCATATATCTCCCATTTATGTTTGAGACACAGTGGAGGCCAAAGCCCTGTCATGTTTTGGAAGAGTTCAGGCCTTGTCCTCAGAGCCTCCCTTCGAGGTAGATGACATCATTTCTCTCCACCATGTTAGAAAGCGTCACATAAAAAAGGTTAAAAAAAATGATGCTAAAAGAAATCAGAGCTGTTTGATAAGCTGCCTCTGTATCAGGACGCCTTCACGATTAAACATAGTAGGAGGTGATAGTGTTGAGCTGTTGAGGTGTACAAAACTTTTTGTAAGCCTACCAATTTTACGTAGGTATAAGCAACGCTGAGGCCAGACAGCCGGGCAAAGCGCCGAACTTCAGCGTGAACTGGACTGTCGGCGATCAGGCACTGGAGGTGATCAACGCCACCACGGGGAAGGACGATATGGGCCGGCCTTCCAGACTCTGCAAACACGCCCTCTATAGCCGCTGGGTGCGCCTGCACTCAAAGGTACAGAGAGCCGGAAACACAACTTATATTACAGTTCTTTGCAAAAAGACATTTTTGCTCTGATGCCCCTAATTTTGTCTCAGTATTTGTGTTTGTTCTGCAGAGGGTTCAAAGTTTGTTAGAGAACATTTTCAAACAAACAGCGTCATGAAGACCAAGCAACATAGCAAAGTTAATTTTTTTTTAAAAATGTCACAGATAAGTATCTTAAGTATTTGTTCAATCTATTATTACCTAGGAATCCAAGCTGAGCTTTAGGATGTTTGGTCAGCTGTTTGTATGCGCTGTACAATGGCTGCTGGAAAAGACAAGTGTTTAGTTGTTGGCTTACCATTTAGAAACCACTTGCTGCATTTTTTTTGGTTGTGCAGGAGGCTCTACTTCTGCTTTTCAAAGATGTAGAGTTGTATACCGTTTGAAGCCATTTTCAGATGTGACCGTAAGAATTGAGTTGGGGGCATGGCTAACGGCAACTCATCCTGAAAGGAGCTCAGAATAGGCAGACTAAAATCTCATTATATCAGAATGATTCTGTGCAAAAAATGAAATAAACATGTTTTGCTAAACACAGAGATCTATCCTGACATGCTCAAGGAAGCTTCATCCTAAATTCTACTTTCTGTTTCCATTTCCTCTTCCTCCCCAGCTGTCATCCATCCTGCGGATCAAAGTGTCCAAGCCCAGCTCATACCATGAGGCCAAGCAGGCGGCCATGGAATACCACTCTGCTAAAAAGGCCCTCATCAAGGCCTTCCACAAGGCCGGCCTGGGGGCCTGGGTCAAAAAGCCCATTGAGCAAGACCAGTTCACCCTCAGCTCCTGATTGAGTCCGGGGACCAAACGGAGAGGGGGGGTTTCCCAATGCACCAGCTCCTCCTGCCCTCCCTCCCTGACCCAGGCCGGAAAACTTATCGAGCCCCTCAGTAACATTTTATTTCCGTCCCCATGTGTCAGCTACACATGTGCACTTGTCACCTGTGTGGCTCCACAAACTCTCCATCGCTCATCATTCCTCAGAGGACCTCCGCCTCATCTTGTTTCTCATCTTTAATTTTTAAGCCTATAATTTTGGTTTTACTTGTTTTCTGTTTTTAAACTGGAACCATTGCTCTTTTTTTCAGTCACTTTGTTTTCAGGACAGAAATTTTCCTTATGCTGTAGGTGTGGAAAAGTGGCGATGATACAATTTTTGTCTCTTCACAAAATGAGTGTGGCCTTTGTAGGGGGTCATGTAGCACAGAAGAAAGATATTTTTGTTGTTGTTGTCACTGACTAATACCAATGTGTATGGACCTAAAGATAATTGCTCAAATTAAAAACGGTGATCTTTAATTTAATGATTCATAAATCCTCAAGATGTAAATCTAATTAAGAAAAGTTAAAATATTGTAGGTATAAGATATAATGTGTGTTTCTCTGATGAGTTCTTAGCCCCTTTTATTAAAGGTGAAAATGTTCTAAAACAATGTCGCCCTGTTTGATTGACTCATAATAAAACAAATTCAGGACAGGTGTGACTGCAGCATAGCACACTTTATAATTTTTTTTTTCTCATTCATTTACTCATTCATTTGTCCTCAAAGGTATTTCCCATTGCTGTCACTTCATACTTGAATATCCGGTTGGGTCATGTTGGAGTCCTCCCCCTCACCTGGGTCCCGGGACGAAGCTTTAGGAGGCGCTGCACGTTCTATTTTTGTCCTTGGTTTACTTGGTTTCCTTTTTGAGTCCATGGCTTTGCATGGAAACTGAACTGAGAGGCTTGCCGAGCAGAAAACAAGCGACGGGGAACTCTATGCGTCAATGATTTTTGAATGAATGCCAGCAACTTTCTCCACAGGCAGCTTTGAATCTTTGTCTCTATTTTCTAAATTTCATGTGATTGATTGAATGATTTTTGGGGGGCTTCAAAAGAAGAAGGTTTTTTGTTTGTTTGTTTGTTTACTTTCTGTGTTCCCTTATCAAAAAATGATTAATGGGGATGAAACTACTGAGAGAACAGTGACAGTACAACAAACTTCTCAGACCTTGTATTTACACCACAGAGACCCCTGACAGCTGTCAGATCAGATAATAGTAGATGTCCTGTAGCACACATATGGTACAGTATATGAAGCTAGATTCAAGATATGCCACATTAAGCCCATCTGTGGTGGCTGTGATGCAAACATGCAATCTCCACAACGTTGTCCTTGGAAGCACCTTCACAGACCGTGCATGAACAGACTCAGAAGCTGTATGCTGAAACCTGATGCCAGTAGTGTCCAACCAAATGTACAGTTTTCCAGTTTGATGTTAAGCCTCCTGTATTAACGCCTCTCTGTGTATTAACTCCTATTCACCGTGAGTCAATACTCTCCCATGTTTTAAACTGGTCAAAGAAGACTCATTTCTAAGAAACTTCAGTCAATTCCTGTAGGATAAAAAAAAAAACACAGTTTGAGTGTAAAATTTGTGTGTGCTCAGGTGTCTTTCAGCATACTCAGTTAAATTTTCACCAAAGATGTAGATTTTCACGTGTTTTCCCCCCAGTGTTAATAACACCTGTTTTTTAATGGCTTGCCATTATTCCGCCATCATCCCTTTACTGGCAGTTTTTTTTTTTTTTGTACTTGTGTTTTCTGCAAAAAAAAAAGAAGTATATTCAATATTGGGCAGAGAAGTCGGGCTTTTTTAGTGCAAATGTAGCTGTCAGCGCCCACCATGCATTTTGTGACCTGCAATCATAACTGTTGCAATATTCTTGTTCTGTGCATATAAGGAACAACAAATGTGGCAAATTCTCCCTCTGTGGAAACCTTTTGGATCTCCTTTGTCAGTAGAAATGTGAAGATCTTATTGTTCCTATACGTAAGTTTATGAATCACTGACTACAGCCAATGTGCAGCATGGCACCAACACTTCCAGAGTCGACATGATTCATTCGCATTGTAGCAAGACAGACACAGCAGGAAGGAAAAAAAAGCAGCACTGTTACATTTCTCCTCCACCAGCTGGCACTCGTGATGTCATCGAAGGTTGTCCAATCCTCCTTGTTTTGATTTAATTTTCTAAACCATCATTAGAAAATCAAAGCTGTGTTCAAAATGCTCACTCATTTTGTATACTGTATGTGTACAAAAAAACTGAATGGTGCAGGTGAAGCCAGCTTTTTTGTGTTGCAACACTAAATTCTGCTTCGATATGTTTGTTTGCAGGTATATTGCATAAGCAAGCACCAGCAGCATTGATCACATTATAAATAAATGTTTTTTGTTTTTGGTTGAAAACCTTTTAATAACATAATTCATCATCTTAAAAGTTGCACTAAGTCTTATGTTACCATTTTTATTTTCTGTGAAGTCAGGAAAGTCACAAAAATCAACCACAGACAATAAGTGTCAGTATGCAAACATCAGCATTAGTGTGCTTACTTTATTATCATTCTTGGTCAGTCAAGGCATTACATTTTGTTTCATGTACATTATTTCTACTGTTTGGTAATGTTTTATATGTTGCTTTATTTTTAAGGAAATCCCTGGTGGATGGTAGCTGCCCTGCATGGTAGTGATAGCATGCTAACATTAGCATTACCGTGCTGAATTGACTGAAGCAGAAATACAGTAGAGCTGATGTAGATTCTCTATTTACACTGAATGACATTGAATTGAATTTGCAGTTGACCACAGTTGATGCTGTGTTAGCGTGCGGGAAATATTAGAAAGTCATGAAAATTTGAAGATGCTTTTGTTACTAAACTCTTTGCAGTGGTTAAAAACTGGAAACACTGAGTTCAACATGAACTATTTGTGTAAAGAGAGTGTACTACCTCTTTGCAATACTTTTGCTAAGCCATATGAGAGTTTTCTTGTTCACCGTACAGTGGATGTTAGCTTGCTAAATTAATTTCTTTGTCTATTCAGGTTTTTCGGGGGGTTTTAAAAAGTCAGTGTACCACCTCAACACTACCTTTTTGAATCATCTGAGAACTTCTGAGTGCACTATTAATGGTAGATTTAGAGTCATTGTTATCTGCTTTCAAAGGCACTAGAATCCTAATGTTAGCATTAGCTTGCTCTGTTAGCTCAGGCTTAATTTAATCATGGTCTAATTTGATGACACCATGTAGCACCTCTGTAGACTATCTACTGTACCAGGCAGTTGCCTTTTAGTACACTACCTACATTGTGGCTAGAAAGCTAATAATTAGCTGAAGATGTTAGAATGCTAATGTTAGCCTTAATGGACTTTGTCAGCTCCGGCTGTAGGGCATAGTGGTTTTCTTTAACAATGCAGTGAACTGTATAGTCAAGTCAAGAGTAGAAATTATGCACAGGAGATGAAAATGACCATCGTGTACTACTGAAGAATAAGTGAACAATTTGAACACAGCTTTGAAGTTAGCTTTATATTAAAAATGAAGAACAGTCTGATTGAGTGATCCCCTACAATTTAGCCCTAACTCCAATCCTAGCCAGTAGGCCTACTCCATATGCAAAGTGTGACAGATGTTTCTCTTCCTCTGTGTTTCTCCCAGTCCGTTCTGTTAACGTTTTGATTTTTACAAAGCTGTCTGAGGGTTTTTCTTTTTCGTATATGCCCCGTTAAGATTGCCTGCTTTTAGAGTTTAGTTATTTTTTTGACTGCACTAAAGATGTCAACTGATGATGTCATGATTTAAAAAGAAAAATACAAAAGAAGAAAAAAAGTCTCCATTTATGGTTCGGATGGATTCTACTACTGGAGCAAGAACTGAACTGCTTCTGCTTAACCCCCTCGTGAATCCCTGAAGACGGTCAGTGCAACCCTTCCCCCTTCTTGGTGGGGTTATGTTATTTTGGTTCTGTTCAGTGAGCCCACATTTGGAGGCTTTTGCTCTTTCTGGGTCCAGTTGTCCAATGTGTGAAATCCTCCACCAACTCAAACCACGACCTTGCATGTTCTACCAACACTGAAGCTGCACCTAGCATGATGACAAACTTTTAAGGACGATGTAGAAAAAACAGATATAGATAGTTATATGAAATCAAGAAAAAAAAGAATAAAGAAGTTCTTAGTTTACTTTTGATTTTTGGGTCAAGTTTATTTCTGATTATGTCTTTGACTCTTCTTTCTGTGTGTCTATAAAATGATAATATAAACAATTAACAATTCTCAACTTAATGGTCAAGGTGGAATTAGTTTCATCACTTCTACACCTCATTTGGTCCCAGTTTGCCTTCCTGTAGATTCAGTTCTGATCATCAAAAGGTTACAAGAGTTAAACAGAACATTAAGATGCTAAAAAAAAACAACAATCAAAATCAGGTACAGAATACTTTTCTTCATTAAGAATGAAAATCATAACACTCAGCAATGTCAGCACTGAAGCCTAAGCATCGCTAGACCAGATTATCCTGACATCCATCTTACACAAGTCAGTCCTTCCCCGGGTCGATTCTGTTCCTAATGAACTACGTTGAAGCTCCTAGTTCACAAAAATGACAGGAACCAACAAAAACCTTTCTGAATCCTGTTTTGAAAATTTACATATTATTTACATATTAATTGACATTTTTTTTGCATATTTGCATTTTTTTTTTGCATATTTGCAACTTATTCACACCATTTTTGCCATCTGTTTATACATTTCAGCATAAAAAAACAACACGCCAGAAAGCACTGTATCAGATATCCACTTTTAGAACTTATAGGTAACAAAAAAGATTTGCTTAAGATGTTTTTCAATCCAAGGACATACGACCATGATTTATTATTTCTTGAGCTGCAACCTTATGTGCCAAACATAAATTTTTAAGAGGAAGCATGCACTGGCAGTAAAATTCATAATATTGTATAAAAGTACGTACATATGCACCTTAAGATGTGATTAAAATATTTTCTGTTTTGTTTTTATATCCCTTATGTGATCTTCACATATGATGTAACACTTCCTCTTTCTTTTGAATATCGGATGTCAAACCATAAATTAGAAAAGTATCGTTTCTCCAATAAGTAATTTTGAGAAAAAAGATATGATGCAAACTTGTGTAAGAAAGGACAATGGGTGAAAATGCTGTGCAGTACAACAATAAGGAACATCTGTTCCGCCTGATTTCATTAACCTGTCGCTCTGTTTGCCTGAGAATTAACAGCCTGTCACTGGAGATCTCTGATTGGATCACCAATTTAATTAGACAAACAACGCATTTCATTTCTAAAATCACCTCAGGGTCCATCATCACCAGAACCACACCTTTTAAGTCCTGACTCCACAGTGTTCCACAGTGAAACACATTTTAAGCATAGTTTGAAGTTTTACATATAATCTGTAGAGTAGCTTTTTGTGGCTGTGGTGACATTTTTGCAGAAACTAATTGCATACGTGTCGGGTGTCAATCAGACTCAGTGTGGAGGCTGGATTAGTCAGACGGCGGCGTCTCATGCATTTTACTGCTGGTTTTAATCTTCAGGTCGGACAGCAAGTGAAGGAGGGTCAACAGGTTTCCCTCTGTGTGCTTACCAAACTCATTTGAAGAGTAAATCAAAGGTATGAAAACGTACTTCAGATCTGAAAGATATTTGAAGTCAGATGCTTTTGAGTTTACTTAACTTGGGAAAGTAGGAACTCATTTATTCATACTGCAGTTTTACTGATGAGTGAATTCAGATCAAACAAAAACTGATTTGGAATGATTTATCGAAACCAGATAGGTGCTTAATTATTAATATAATATTGTCTTATTAAAAAACTGATGTCACATTTAAAACATCGAATCTTTTACTAATTTCAGAAGAAGGTTTCTGACGTTGTAAATTTCAGTCACAACACGTGGATCAATTAATTCAGTGAGTTGACATCATTTTGTAGTGCTTAATATATACAGTGCAGTCCAGCGGTTCCTAAACTTCTTTTTACTAAAACAGGTGAAATAAAACTGTAACAAGTAGACATGTGGCGGATGATACAGTACCTCCTAGTGGATGACAAGATAGTCCAAGCAAAAACCCATTGTTGATAATAATAAATATTATTATGGGCTGTACATATTTCAGTGATGTTCTATCGGTGTGTGATGTATCAGTTGCTCCTGTTCTGCTCCTTATGTGATCCATAAAAACAACAGAGCGCCATCTTCAAAGCTTTCAGCTACAGAACTTATGATTGACGCTTATTGAAAAATTGACAGGTATAAAGTACAGCTGGCAACAATCACTACATGAACAGGAGGAACGTATCCCTTGCACTACCACAGAAATACATTTTATTTTTATTTATTAAAAATAATCTTTAGTTTTGTACTTTTTCACAACTTAAAAAGACTTCTGAGACATTGGTTAATATATTCTAAATATGCATTAGATTTCCCTCTATGGACATATTTTAACGTCAACATTTTAGTAATTTCTTCTTCTGGCCCTAACATCATATCAAAATATTGTCAAAACAAACCTTTGAAAGTCACGCTTGTTCAGCAAATTTATTAATCCAGATTTTATGCCAGTAGCTTCTTATGCAGACATCTTTATCATCTGCCACATTTAAACAGAATGAAAAGTCTTTATGCGTGCAGTGGTTACCCGCCGTTTCACCTGTTGTCAATTAAAAACAGAGCATTAGAAGCAGGAAATGAAGGAAACTAAAAACTGTTAGAAACATCGGATTTGCAATGTTTTTTGTTTCTGTTTTTTCTTGTATATGGGTCGAACCTACAGCATTTCACCATCTGTTTCTAAAGTGATTAAAAAATATATATATTTTGAAATGCTTATTTTGGTCCATGCTCATCAAAATTTTACTTTTTTTTTTTTTTGCTTCTGCTCATATTTGTTTATCTGTGGGTGGGGGAAATCAGCTGAGAGGAAACCCTAAAATAATCCTCCAAGTTGATAGCAGTTTCTTTGTTTACTCTCTGGGCAGATGAACTATCAGATCAATTATAAATCACCTATAGATGCTATAAACACTGAGCTCCCTGAAGTTTACCGCCCTGTTGGCAGGATGAAAGCTCTAAAAGTAGATTCAGTCATTGCAGCAAGCTTCACCATGTGAGAAACGCTCTGGGTTTTAATAATGCAGAAACCATCTGCTATTTCTTGTGATGCCGTCTATGGAAAACTTCTATCAAGTCTTTTATTACAAGTAATTAAAGTTGGCTTTGTCTTAGTATTTGAGCTAAATATTTAGTATTTATTAGCTCCAGGAAAGCCCAAAATCATCTTCATGAGGCCAGAAACAAAGATTCACTGGTAAACATTAAAATATGCATTCTTTTAATTTATCAGCATGTCGCCTCAGAGCGCCAACGCAGTAAAGAACAGAGGAGCAGCTCTGGGCGTCCCGGTGCAGGAGGGCAGTGAGGGAGAGGCCAACAGCTTGTGCCCCTGAGAGAAATGACAAATCATTAGCTCTGGTCCAGGAGTAAATGGGAGCCACACTCCTCCAAGGCCCACATTTCCATTTCAATTTTCTGCTCAACAGAGTTGATGTATGTGGCGAATCAAACAGCAAGACCAGTCTCCACCTCGGCCGGCTCGAGCCTCCTGATATTCACCGCTTAGAGTATGGATGTGACCTTGTGTGCGTGTGTGTAGGTGTACAAAGGAAACACAGTGTCTCTGTGTAAAATGTTTTGCCAAAAGAAAAAGAAAATGAGGGGCTTTATGTGATTTGATGCAAGTTGAGTTTAACTGTATGCAGACCATCATATAGCCTCATACAGTACAGCGTTAAACATCATTCTGCAGGAACAACTCCTCGACAATGAAAAACTTTGTGATTGAAAATTTAATGAAGAGTTTTGACAGTACTGCCAGTAACATGAGCTTCACTTGGCTGATGTAAGGAACTGTTGAAATGTTCAATAAATCAGAAACATGCATAGATAATAAGTATAAAAAATTCAAAGTTTGAACACAGATGGATGATGTCGACGCAAAAGGACATAATGAGCTGCAGTGGGACCACAGCAAGTTCACAAGTGATAATGTTGCTGAGAAAACAGCATTTTGAGACACCTGAAAATATATGATTTTGTTCCTACAGAACCAGTCTTAGTCATTAGAAATATGACTGTTTAAATCTGCCTATAAACAAGTCACAAAGAAAATGTAAAATAGACTAAACACTTTTAATAATCTTATATTCATTTGTCCATTCTACTAATAAAGCACCAAATATTTCCTTGAATCTGACTATAATTTTTGCACATTACAATCAGCTAAGCTTACTTTCAAATCCAGCATGTGATGACAGTTGAAAGAAACAACTCTCTCTTAATCTGGAGAAACATTCAGACAGAGCTAATCGCAAAAGCAGAAATGCCAGGAGCCAGAGAAATGTAGAAAGTACACAAAGATTACAGTAAAAAAAAAAAAAGCTCCATCCCTTGCATAGTTGTAAAAAGATATGCAGAATCTCAGATGTTCTTTCCAAGAGAAAGAAAAGGAGAAAGCACAGAAAGTTGTTGACTAAGTCCAAGAAAAAGACAGACGTTAAATTAATGACTTTAACGTCTGTCAAAAATAAACTAATCACCAGAACTTTCTATGAGTAAGCTAAAACCAAAAATGTATACAGAGTTAATTGAAGTAATGTCCGGGAAGAAGACACGACTAAACACAGAAGAAGTTTTTCCAGTTGAGTATCATTACCTCAAACTCACAGGAACAGATGGATGATGACTCATTCCGGCCCTATTAAAAGCTTTTACTAAATTAGAAGTTCATTAGTGTTTTTCTAATCCACTTTAGGAGTGGATTAAAAAAATCATCTGCTTTAGGAATGCAGAAAATCAAGCTTGTTTTGAAGAAAATTTGCAGAGATTAAAAAAGACATGCTAGACTTTTTATTATTTACTGCAAACAGAAGTAATAATTGTGTGAAGTGTATTTTAAACGTGTAAGACACATGCTTACACACAATCTAATATATAAAAATTCATCTGACATGAAGAAACACGGTGTTGTTAAAAAGTTGACTTCCCATCAGTACAGCCGTTTGGTAATTGCTAAAGCATCTCTGTGGCACGGTGATAGTTTGCAATTTACTCAGCGGTAATCCCGAGTGCCGCTGTGTGTGAGAGGAGA